ATGGGACCAATTCTTGCCCCTTCTATCCGGATGAGATCTACCACATCGGCAAGAGACTTTCTATTTGGCTGCGACATGAGCTCCTAAGGGGAGGCTACACAACAGCAATCGACAGAGGCGGATGGGCAGCAATCGATGATTTGATCCAAGAGGCCGCGAGCTCGTGAAGCATGGTCACGAACACCGCAAGCAACCTGGTAACAGGCTTCTCTTTGTGGAACATGACATGACTGACCAGAGCCCGCCGACTGCAGATGAGATGTTCTACTTGGGGTCATATGCCATGACGACAGTCATTGAGAATGAGCTCTACAACTGGAGTAGTCACAAGGGGAAGAAGCGCATGGAGCTCGTTGGGGCCAGGTTGAAGTCCGATGTTACCAATGCGGATTTGGTGCTGTTGAAGAAGCACCTGAGCAACCCAGTCGATGTGATTGATGCTCGCCGTCTCAAGGATTCGCCGTATCTCGGATGGATTCGACCCCTCGCTGTCAGGTGCATCTCTGGACATTCAAATGGTGCAGTCGAACTCACAACGATCGCAATTTCTGAACGGGTTAAGCAAGCCATTGGAGGCGCGTGGCACATGACGAGCCGACACGTATTGGATTGGATTGCAAGCTCAGGGCTTCTGCCCGGCGGACCCAGGCATTGGCGATTAGATGTGCATTTTTCACCTTTTCCTCCGCGGGACAATCGTTACACTTCGAACTTCACAAACCAATTTGCAAAGAAGGGGGAAAAGGGAGTCGCGATTTACGTGCCCATCAGTGCCTTGATCGACCTTGGCGCGAGGCTTGCCACGAAAGGTGTGATTTTTTGTCGGAACAAGGTTCCTTTCTCTGCCATTCATGCTATCTTCGCTTTGTCGGGCACTCGTGGGATGGGTGAAAGACTTCAATCCCCATCTCTCGTTGATGAGTACGTTTGCGATTCCATCGATGGAGAAGACTGTGTGCGAGCCTCCCCAAAATTTGTTGCAAAAGTGGCGGATCATTTTCGTGCCGACCTCAGCATTCCTTTCACGCACCAGAACAATGTGGCTACAATTTTGAGGAGAGTTGCTGACATGTATCCCAATGAGACACAGACGAAGGACCTCATCAACAACATCACTCGAGCCATTGTCTACAACCCGCGTGAGTATGAGTGCAACTGTCGGTACTGTCCATGGTGCTTGCACCTCACCCCAGCAACTCTTGTCAGGTGTGTTCGCTGCAATGCAGCTCTTATCTCCGTTGGTCGTTTCATGGATCAGGGTAGTCAGGGTTCGCCCCGCGCCCTTGATTCTGAAATTCTCATCGAAGTCGATGATGAATCGACCATTGAAGGTACCATTGATGAAGCAGTTGACATAGCCCAAAGCAGCGTTGTCCAAGATGAAATCGTTGATGAACTCCAACTTGTCGAAGAAAGTGCAGCGGGAATTGATCTCGATGCCCCCCATGAAGAACAAGAGCTGGCAAAGGATACCTAGGAGAACGTCGACGCGTATGGAGAACCTGATGACTACAGCAATGAGTACATCACGGTATCACACCAATCGAGCACCGAGTCACCAGCGTTGTGTCGCAACACCGAGGAGATCTCCAAAGTGTTCGATGAAATTGTTGGATATCTCATCTTCCAACGAAAAGACATCCTCGACGATTTCCTATCGCTCAGCTTCTCAGAGATGAGGGCCAGAATGGACAAGCGAAGAACACCGTTCACGAGGAGACAAGTCTTCTGCCCGGCTTACATCGATGAAGACACAATGCTTCCTCGTGCTCCTACCAAAGAGGAGTACATGGAATGGGCAAGAGGCGATGGAAGAAAGGATTATCAGGCAGAGCGTGAACAGTGGATGTGGGAACACTGGTATGGAACACAGGGATCTTCCCTCCTGTTCTGCGACAACCTTGATCACTGCTATGAGGTGATCAGCACACACGCGATGATCTGGAAGCTCTACCTACGGGCCTACACCACAATGAATGTGAACGAATTCCTCACGCCCTTCATCGCCGTCAACTCCGATGGTATGCGTACAATCCGACCAAACACAGGTGAGGGCCACAGCGTGTTGATTAGTTCGCGGCTTCGTCTACTCTACTCCAATGCATTGGGAATCAAGAAGTATCGCTACGTGGCATACAAGAACATGCCGACCGAGGTCGTCAAAGATGGTGTGTGCCACATTTGCATAGAAAGACTTCTGGAGGCCCAACAGAAGCGCGACCGCCTCAATCCCGAGGCATTGTACATCTGTCAGCATATGGGTGTGCAATTCAACAAAGAATACAAGGCACGATACACAAGGGTTATCGTGTACACAATCAATGGCCAGATCACCAATCGGAAGAATCGTGAGAATGTAGAGGCATGGAATAAGAAGAATGCAAGAACCACGTTCTTTCAGACTGGATTGGAGATGCTGAAGGACCAGACCAAAGCTGGCACTCGATACAATCCATCCTTTGAGCCCTCTAGATCCTCATTTGATGCCATGGACTAATGAGGCGACGGTGAAGCCACAATGCTATGTGCTTGAGTCTCATCGCCATTTTGGTGTGACAGAGACCAAATTGTGCACCCAGGGTTCGTCCCGCTGCTGTATGAGCATCGCATGTGCGTTTTCACAAAGGTCGCCCAGGGTTTGACCCGGCGAGACGTCTCACAACCCACCTGTTATTGCTACTTTCTTGTGTGTTGCATAAAAGCCCGGAGCTCCTGCTTGCGTCTCACACAATGAAATTGTTCATCAACGTGGGGGGTGTTGATTCCTATGCATATGGGTGGTTGTCAAAATTATGGTCACTTTTTGGGTCCCTATTATAATACGGCACTTAATATTTAGGGTACCCAAAAAAAAGCCATAATTTTGACAACCACCCATATACCTAAACCACAAGTGAACTTGTACATGTAGCAATTCCAGTATTGCTTGTAACTTGTGTACTTGGCTCAAGCCTTACCTCGATAACCTCCTAATGCTATGTATTGAGGATACACGGACCATCGTACAGGTTGAAGTGAGCTCGTGAGACCGCAATTGAGAAAAGTGTCTGAGCGATTAACCTTTGAGGTTTGCGCGGTGCTGGATTATTATTATCTACTCGTGCAGTCGCCATTTTACAGTTTAGGGTTTACGGTGCGTGCGGAGTTTACAGCGTCTTTAGGGTATTTATGCGGTTTGGGTTCTTTAGGGGTTTTCGGGTTTACGCTGTTTAGGGATTGTAGGGTCTTTAAGGCATATACGGGTTTTAGGGTTCAGGGTTTTCAGGTATGGGGTTCGTAGGGTTTATGGTTTTTCGGTTTAAGGTTCTTGGGATTAAACGCTTTCAGTTTGAGGTCTCTAGGGTTTGTAGGACGTTTCAGTTTTTTTTGAGTGTTTAGGGTTGCTAGGGCTTAGGGCTTTGGGGTTTAGGGTTTTTGGTGTTTAGGGTTTTGAGGCATCTGGGCTTTGAGAGTTTTATCCGGGTTTATTCGTTTTTTGCATTGGGTCCGGGCTTTCGGGTTTTTAGGGTTTAGGGTGTTTGCGGTTGTTAGGGTTTAGGGTTCTTTAGGTTCAGGGTTTTGAGGTTGCAGTTTTTTAGGCTTTGGGTTGTCTGGGCTTTATAAGAGCTACTCCGGACCCCCTACTCTTGCAAACCATTGAGGAATGTGGCAGCCATTGATGAGGATTCGATATGATACACGGGCTCATGTTGAAAACAAGAGCTAGGGGTGTGTTGGGGGTTTTGCATCCCCCCGCCCCCCCAATTTGCAAACCACTGAGGAATGTGGCTCTTCTTGATGAAGATTCAGTACTCGACATGAAACGGGTTCACATTACAAAAAAGGAGGGTTCCGGGAGCGCAGCCCCGCCATTTGTAAACCTCTGAGGAAGGGATTTTGATGGTTGAGGCACAGGATTCATCATTCGACATGATACAAGTTCATGTGAAGAAAGAGCGGGGGGTCGGTGGGCTCATTGAGGAATGTGGCAGTTGTTGAAGATGAGCTGATTCGACATGATACGGGTCTATGTCAAAAAGAGCGGGGGGGTTGGGGGGGGCGCAACCCCCCAATTGTAAACATTTGAGGACGTTGGTAATTGTGCAACAGGATTCATCACTCGACATGATACAGACCACCTACAGATCTATGTCAAAGAGCGGGCGGGTTGGGGGACGGGGTGGGGGGGCCCCGCACTTGCCATTTGTAAACCCTTGAGGAATTTGGTAGTTGTTGAAGCGGATTCATCATTGACATGATACAGGTTCATGGTTAAAAAGAGCGGGGGGGGTTGCGGGGGCAAAGCCCCCGCATCTGTAAACATTTGAGGATTTTGGTAGTTGTTGAAGAGATTTTTTCGGCCTGCTATGGGTCTACGTCGAGAAGAGCAGGGGGGTTGGGGGGGAGCCCTTCCCATTTGCATGTTTTTTGAGGAATTTGGTAGTTATTGCACAGGATTCAGCATTCAACATGATACACGTTCATGTTAAAAAATGGGGGCTGTGCTGCATTAGGTTTTGAGGAGGAATTTGCCCTACAGATCGATATCTGGAATCTGGAATGACTTGGCTCTCCCTGACGGAAACTAGTTGCATTAGCTGCCATCAAAACCTCTGACAACCTGGACTGTGGCGATCTTCAGAAGGTGAATGAACGCTACACGTGAGTCTGAGATAAAGCACCACCTGAACATCATGGGGCCTAAAATGCGGAAGCGAGCATCGCCCATAGAACTTCAAAGGACGCAACGAAAGGCAAATACTAAACCAGTAGCGGACCTGCTTTTCCCGCATTGTTTAGAATACGGATTGGTTTCGGGGCTGGTTTAGGTACAACCTCGGCGACACGAGCTCAAACTAAGGCCCGCTGCAAGCAACACAGGCAGGACCTTTTTTTGGAAGCAGAAACTGAAGGCTTCCTGAATCTGCAAGTAGAAGGGCCGTCACACAAAAAGATTGGCATCTGTTGCCTCCACAAAGCCTGAGTGTGAGCACATGTAGCCCTGGAACCCATGCAAATAGGTTGACTGCCAATGGAACTTGCGACCTGAAGTGGGGAAGAAGGTCACTTTCACCGCTGCGTGGCTGTTATCAGTGAGGGTTGCATTTTTCAGGTACTTGCTTCGGCAACGAACCAACATGCAGCCGGCACTCAGGTATACTTAGACGACAAAGGCGCTGGGGCCAAGGATGTCATGCCCGTGGAGACTTGCCTGCGGGTACGTAAGCATGAAGAAGTCAAGCAATGCTGTCAGAAGACTATGGTAGCAAAAGGTTGAGTGAAGACGGAGAGTGCACACAGTGCCTGCCTCGCCTATGGCAAGGAATGACCTGGCGCGGCTCCTGAGAGCCCATACCCTCTGTCGAGCAGTGTGTAACGTCATTCATTGGACATTGACAGCGCTGCTGTTGCATGTTTGCAGATATAGGCAACCGCGTCACGTCAGCACAGTCCAGATAGTCTTGCAGAGTACTTTGTGTTCAGCACATATGATGTCATAGCTGATGTCAAGCAGCTATGCAGCACCCGAGCCGGCAAAAGCTACGCTCCACTGAATGCGTTCGGTTCCTGGACAGTCTTTGGATTGCCTCAGGCGCATTTTTGCGCTTTTCCTGGATTGCATCGACCTGCTTTGTGGCCTTACGTATGCCAGCTTGTGGCTGTTGTCGTCCTGACCCTTCCCTCTCTGAATGCAGGGATAATTTTGTGATGACAGCCTGCTCAGTGTTTAGTTAAATATCATGCATCCTCAAACAAGTCAAGGATCAATATTAATGCAAGAGTTCTTTGTGCAATTTGTGCATTTTTACTTGTACATGACATCACACATCAAGCCTACGGGAGCTTTAGTTTAGGGAGTTTGCAGAGTATCTCGCATTGGGGAATTAGTCAACGAGCTGCGGCTGGGAGTGAGGCAGCAAAAAGCATGGCAAGATGTCTCGTCTCCTGGCAAGATGCCAAGTACAGGGTGCTGCGTCTAAAGCCAGGGCTGAACTACTTCACATCTCGATCGGTCTTGAAGGCTTGGGGCTGGGGGCGGGGCGCCCGGGTACTATGGCGCAAAGCGTCATGTTTTAGCACAATTTAGCCGCTAGTGCCTCACGCCGCCTCAGCAAAGGCGAACACGAGGTCCTGGCAAAGCGGAGAACTCAGACCGGACCCCCGGGCTTAGATCCAAACGCCCCAGGCCTCCGGCCTCGGCAGGCTTTCCTCCTGCACATGAGGCCCCCCCACACATACACATGTTTGATACATACCACTCAAAGCAACCAGAGCCCTTCGTTTGGCAGCCCTTTGCTGAGGCATTCGCAAGATATGAGCCCACTGAAGCTTCTGGCCAGACTACCTGGCCGTCTCAGGCGACATACCCCATACCATAAACCTAGCCCGTGGTAGGGTAGTGAAGGCGGACAGGACTGCTTACCAAAGAAGAGATTGATCCAAAGTTTGGCTCCGCAGCGGATCCCGGGCGTCTGCTGCAAGACATGACCCTGGGCGTCCAGAAGACAATCCAGAAAACAAGCGCAGGCTCACCAACGCGGCTGAAGCTGTGCAGAAGGGGCAGGGGATGAGGGTGCATTGCCAGGTGCAGACACCAAGTCAGGCGACAACGGTCCGGTTGCAATCCCAGAGGATTTCACGGTGGACAAGGCGAGAGGAGTCTGGCTGAAAGATATTCACCTGATTTGCAAGCTCTCCATGTTTGGATTTGATTTGAGGATGCTCGCTATACTGGCTCCGCATCTTGGCACCTGCACTGAGCAACTTTTGCCTACTAGGTCCAGTACCTACAAGACTTTGAATATCAGTGTTTCGGTGCAAGATTGGTTTTTCTGGGTCTTGTCGTTACCCTGCCAGTGATCGACACGAGCTGCTGTCGCAGTCCTTGCAATATTGAGCATTTTGAAGGCGATTGCACCAATGCCGTACCAGAGATTCGGATCAGGTCATTGACTTCAACAAGTGGAGGGGATTTGGGCACATCGCGATGGACCAAAAGGCCTGTTCAGTTGTAACGGAGGCAGAAGTAGTCGCGCAGTTGTCAAGCCATGCGAGGGGGTCGTGCCCGGAGCAGCTTGGAGTGCATTCATGCTCCTTTCTTGGGGCACACCAGTTTCAAACATCACGTCGGGCTCGCAAGAAGTTTGCATGGATTGCACTCTTGCATGACATTGTTCAGCTTTGTATGGAAGTCGTTCATTAAGACCGGATGTAGACGGGTTGTGGGATTCCTTCTATTTGATATTTCTAAGATGTTCAGGAATTAGGCATCAGGATTGATCTTTGCGTGCCGAGCTTGATTTGCATTTAGCACGGCTATACCAAGAGCTGGGTCTTTCTGCAATTTCGCCTTTTTTTGCAAGTTCGCTACGCTGCCGTAACTAAATCACCAAGTTTGTTGCTGCCGACCGAGGACAAGGTCTTCATCCACTGGAAGAATATTCAGACAGACGACCGTTTCCCACGCTTGCAGCAAGGACTGCAGTCGCTCAGTTTGCAAAGACATGCAAAGACTGTTCCTTTTCAGAAGTGGAATGAACTTTTGACACCTGGCGGGCATTGATTGACACGCTGCACGTGGTAGCTGCTGAGGGTGGAATTTGGTTTGGTTGTTTCTCAGGAGTGGCCACTTGGCACATGGCATCGCATAGCATTCACCAGACGCTGTTTCAACTGCATTCATGCTTGCAAGTGGCGTTGTTTTGACACATAAGGCGAGGCTGGAACAAGGTTCGCTCGCTAAAGGCCAAAACTCTGACGCTCCCTGGCGGAGGACGGGAGTCTGTAATGCGGGATACAGCAATTCGCATGTACAGAGCCTTCTGCCAGGCATGGTGAACATCCAGGCGCGATGTGCTGCCATTCATCATGTCATGGTTTGCACTGGCAGCATGCACCCGAAGCCAGAGACTTCCAAATTCCAAACGCATCGAAACGCGTGAGAGGAATAGGGACATCCCCTTCCCATTACCACCGTAGAATGGGGGCCCCCGAGACCCATTTGAAACGGTTCAGTTTAGTTCTGATGAGGGGTCCCCTGAGACCCCTCATTTTACAGAGTTCAAGGCCTGGGCTCGACAGAGGACTCCCCCATTTTACAGAGATCGCTGTTGATGTGGCATGTGCCCTAAGCCCAAACCCCTAAACCTCAGCCCTAAATCTCTAAACCCTGAACCCTAAGCCCAATTAAAGCCCTAAACCATAGACCTCTAGACCCTAAACACTAAACCCTCAACACCCCAAGGCAAGCAAAAAGCAAAGCCCCCAACATGAAGATCCCGAGGTAGAGAACACGTCCGAAGTGGCAGAGCGGCACAAGTGCCTGAAGGGGTGATTGTTGTTGTTGGCTGCTCATGCATCTTCAAACTTGTTACGGGGCAAGCGGGGGAGTTTTGTGTGCTGATGGCTCCGTGAAAAAGGCAGGGCGAAGTCCTATTTGTAAAATGGTGTGTCCCACGGCTGTAGGTCGATTGGAGCACTCATTGCATTCAGAAGGGTTTTACGGACACATGAAGCTGGGGGCGGAATTGCACTTTTTGTTTTTTTTGAGAAAACGGCCAGGCTGGCACGGCTATTTGTACTCTTCATGTTGTTGGTACCCCAGGCCGTTCTTTTGGTGGAGGCCGAACTGTACGTTTTCTGAGAAAACGTGGGACACACCATTTTACAGATAGGACTTCGCCCTGCCTTTTTCACGGAGCCATCAGCACACAAAACTCCCCCGCTTGCCCCGTAACAAGTTTGAAGATGCATGAGCAGCCAACAACAACAATCACCCCTTCAGGCACTTGTGCCGCTCTGCTTCTGCCACTTCGGACGTGTTCTCTACCTCGGGATCTTCATGTTGGGGGCTTTGCTTTTTGCTTGCCTTGGGGTGTTGAGTGTTGAGGGTTTAGGGGATTGGGCGTAGGGCTTAGGGTTGAGGCTTTAGGGTTTTGATATTTGGGGTTTAGGAGTTAGGGCTTAGGGTGTAGGGTGTAGCTCATCTTCATCATCATCCATCATCATTACCATCATTTTCATCATCATCATCATCATCGTCATCGTCATACAATGAGGGGTCATGAGGGTTGATGATGGTTCATGCACCTGGGGAGCCCCGTTTTACAGTGCTGCCTCCCAAACTTAGCCGACAAATCTGGGCCCTTCAACCCCATGAAAATGGATCTGGGGAGCCCCATTTACAGGGATTCGCGAACACCGCCCGACGCCTTCATTTTACAGAGGCATTTGGCCCGGGACCCCCGTTTTAAGTGTAAAATGGGGCTCCCAGGGTAGAGGCGGAATGTAGAGGGGGGGTATAGGGACGGAATACGCAGCCCCCCACCCCATGTGGGACAGAGATATGGGACAACATGTTGGACGGAGATAGGAACCAACATGTTGTCATGACGCGTAGAAGGGGAGGTGAAGGCTTACGCTAGCAGTCAGGATGCCATGGATGCAGAGAGCATGTCGCGCCTTGTTTGCGTTCAGGTAGCAGCGCGCCTGCTAAACCTACAAGATGCGAATTGCGCAGCAGTCAATGTGTAAGGTTTGTCGGTGCGCAGAACTTCCGCTACACTGGCACCGTGAAGTCGCCCTTCAGCACTGGTGGGATAGTAGTCGCGCATTGGTCAAAGTTGCACCAAGATCACCTTGGTAGAGCATGACCTGCTGTATGTTGGCTGTACCAGAGCTGGTTATGGCAGGCAAAGCACGAGTCAGCTGAATGAGGCAGACGATAGAAAAGCACGAGCCAGACGAACGAAAAGGGAAACAGACCCATCTTTCCAGTGGCAAATAAAGGAAACAGCGACTTGGAGAATTCAAGTAGCGACGTAATAATGTTGAAATATTTGCAAACCCCCCTGATCACATTTGATTAGCTCAAAAAGAGACACTGACATATGGAAGCTGAAGTACAGACCCATGTGAAAACCTATCCTCTTGTGGCCTCGCAAACAAAGAATAACATGACATTTCCATCAAAATGTCTGGCGTTAATTTTCTGTGCCTCGTACTGACTATGTTCCGTCAGGGTTTCTTCGCATTGCAAATATTGACGCCAGATCGGTACTTCAGAATCTGGTCATCCAATCCAACCTGAAGGGGAACTGAAAGTTAAGGCGGAGTGCATACATCAGGCCATGATGAAGCAGACGGAGACAGGAGTTGGCCAATCGGTCGTACTCGCACCCCGCTGCAAGCATCCCGTGTAGCTTACATGGAAAAATCAGGCATGCTTGAGCGGCCACCGCACATGCAGCAGATGAGGGACACGCGCAATTACAGCACACACGTGGTCAGCCGCTCGCCTCACTGCGAATGTGCTTGGCTCGCCACCCAGCTGCCCCTGGGCCTCATGTGTCTGGCTCCAAAGAGTCCAGGCGAACCCATTGCCATTGAGGAACATCCAATGCCTGCCAGACAATTTTCAGCGCCAGAGATCATCCCCTGGTGCCACACCGGGGATGGAAAAACAGTGACAAAGAAGTTGAAAACTAAGATATTGCTCAATCGCCAAACACATCAACAGAGGGAAGGGTGAAACCATCTTCAGCTTGAAGCTCAAGAAATATGCAGCCGTGGCCGTAGAGATGTTAACATCACACGTTTTTCCCTTGTCATTATGAGGAATATGCAAACGGAGAAATGAATACGCAGACGCAAACAGAGTTGAGAAGAATACCCTCAACCCCCTTTCAGCCAGTGACTACCACATTTCCGCAAATGAGGTTCTTTGACCAGTTTCGAAATTTTGGCTGGGTCTGGTGCTAAGCTGCGAAGCACATCTAACGATCGACACCTTTTCTCATGCTGTCAGGTGGTCATAGATGACGGCTTCGCTTTGGATGAACCTGTGCCTAAGGAGATAAAGGCCTGCGATCTCCATAGCTTCAATGCCGCAAATCCATGGCACTTATGTGTGCACATATACTCGGCATTCAATTTTGTGCGCCGCATATCCCCAACAGAGTCAACTAGCCTGGGGCTTGTGGTTTGGCTTGGGCATGCTTGCTCATGAAGGAATGTCTGTGCTTTTTCTCGTTGCTTTGCTTTGCTAGCTGTGTGTTTGTTATTTTGGTCTAGGTGGAGGGCGAGGAGCTGAACACAGCTGGAAAGCCACTGCGGATGAGAATCGACAAGCGGCGTTGGCTGCAGTTAATCCCGTGATGCGCGGGCCGTATAACCCGGACGGGCCCCGGGAGCCTCTTCAACTTGTGATGACTTAGACTTAAGATCTTAGAGCCAGTCTTCAAGGTAAGCAGGTCGCCAAAAGCAGCTGAGGCTGGCTATCGAGTTCGGTATTGTCAAGAGCAAGACCGGCGGTTCCAAGTTCCAATCACCATGCCCAGACTCAGACCATGCCGTTAACTTTGGCTGTTTCGGAATAAAGAAGGAAATCATCTAAGTTTAGGGTGCCTGAGCACTGCAAAAGATAGCAGTGTGGAGCGCGCAGGAAAGGAGACTCCTATATGGCGTACAATGTCACTCTGCCAGGTGCACATTTGTGTGTGGCAGTAGCCTAGAGTGGCACAGCAACGAATAGACTCTAGGACCGTAGTGTGGCCACGAGACATGTTTTGGCAACTCCGTTGCAGGCGGCGCGCCAATCACTCAGGAAGCCATGGAGCACCGCAAGGAAGAAGGTGGCCGAGACGCTTACTGCTGTTTTCAGGCATTTGCTGTCCTGCCACGAGCACTGTATGCCTCCCTCAAATGACTGTTGTTTGTCTTGGAATGAGGTCAAAGGTATACTGGCACCGTGCAATGGTGGCAGCGGTGGCTTGTCCAGTCTATGATAGTGTGCTTGAGTTTTCCCAGGAGATGCTGGGCATGGCAGTGCATGCCCATTTGATCATGAATCAAACCAGGTGGCAGGGCTGGGGGCATATTGTCCCTGATGATGACCAGATTCTACCATCGGCAGCCCTTGGGCAGCGAAAGTTCATCGTCCCAAGCAGCATCGGAAATGCTCAACTAGCAGCGGCTTAAGGTGCAGGAGAAGCTAGAGATGGCAGTGACGCAGGCAGCTGCAAAGGCTGACCGGGGAGTCCTCAATGATTCGAACTGAGCATTGCCTCATGAAATACGGCAGGGAAAGGCTGATGGAAAGCCTCCAGAGAAGCTGCTGTATTTCCGCAAGGCCAGGCACAAGGCTACAGCATGTTCCACACTTTCCGAGTGTTGGAGTCACGTTTCTTGCCTTTGCAAAATGGCAGAATCCGTCCATTCACCTAGTTCATCCAACCCAACTGACTCACCAGCGGCAATATGTGCTGAAACACATCTGGATTGTGTGCTTGCGCTTACACAAAGTCCGCCTGCATGATGCCCCGACGCGCACGCCTCCCCAAGTGCGCGTCATGCGTATTGTCAAGCCTTAAGACAGGGTTCATGAAGCCTTGAAGTTTTGACAGACACGTGCGACGATAATTTGTTCATTTTGTTTGCAGTAAACGGATGTGTAATCAGGATGACTGCGAGTGGACTTTGCGGCCAGAGTTGGGGAAGAAAGTGTCCTTCACTGCCGCTGGACTTGGACTGGAGTTACACCGCCTCCGTGGTGGATACTGTTCCTAGTTTGCTGAGGTTTATGTGGATGACAAGGGTGCAGGCGCCAAGGATGTCATGCCTGTCGTGCCTTGACTTGACTTGACTCTTGAAGTTGGTGCTTTGGCCTCACTCTGTAGCTTCAAACATTGTTCCGAGGCTGAGGACAACTTATGAAAACGCACGAAAAAAGATTTGTACCAGAAGTGCAAACAACGTTTCCAAGCGAGACACGCATTCCGGAACCCAGCACTTCGGCCAAGCTGCGAGCCCATCCATAATCCCGGAACTCGCATCTGCGAGAATTTGTGAATCCGATGAAGTGGGGAATCCGAGAACTGCATGGATGCTCTTGCAAGAGGAAGCTCTTTCGAAGGGACGTTAGTGTAGTTTCTTCCCGATACTGTGGTGAGCAGATGTTCTTGGGGAGGGGGCGTTGGCTATTGTGGTTTGGGCATGCTCTCGGGGTGGGATGTCATGTTGTGTGTTTGGGCATGGGTACTCCAGTGAGCAGATGCCCCGTGGCGGCGCGCTACGTGGTTTGGAGCTGGGATGCCTTGGTGACCGTCAAGCGGATCCCCTCGAAATCTATGAATCCACAAGCCTCTGATTCGCAAACCTGGAAACCTGAAAGCACAGCAATCGCGAATTGGGAGTTGCCGAATCCGTGAGTCCGATAAGTCCGCCAATCTGCGAACGCACAAATCTGCCAGCCTGGGAACCAGCGAGGCCACACCAGCCTGGGACTCTTTATCTCTGGGAGTCTGCGAATCCGCAAATCTGCGACCGCTAGAATCCAGCAAATCGCAAACCCATGAATTTGGAAATCACTGCATCCTGAAAACCGCGCTGTCAGTAAGCGACATGACAAAGAAACTGAAGAAAGCGTACCGTGGTCTCAGACTTAGCGTTTGGCAGCTGTGCAGTCATCCCATTCGAAGTCCTGCAGTACCGCAGGCACATTCAAGGGAGCTAGCCTGAACCTGAATCCCCAAGCTCTGCTCGTATTGCAGATGAGGACTGAGACACGCCACGACGCTGAGGGAGGCAACCGTTTCCTGCCTTCCTGGCGTACTTGCCAGGGCTTGTTCGCTCCCCGCCTATGGACGGTTCTAAGGATACCTCCTATATATATATATATATATATATATTCTACACAGTCTCGAGAATCCCCCTTCAGGGCCTAAGGGCCATGTTAGGGGCCCATACTTGTAACCTTTGAACAGTTGAAGTGCAAACGAAGCATGTTTAGAACAGGGCTTCATTGCCTGGCCTGCAATCAAATAAAAGGGTAAATAAAGATCAAATATAACCAAATGGGCATCAGCATCCCTTTTTGACCAGGTAGCTAAAATAAGATAATGAAGATTATCACTTGACAAGAGGCCACTTTAGGAGATGTCAATGACGAATGAGGGATTGAGGGGGTTCTGAGAGAGAGATCATAAGGGACGAGGGGGTTCATGTATCTCCTAGACCTTTCTGGTTTTTTGTAAGGCGTTTATTGTAGGTTAGCTGTATCCATGACAGGGTTCAGAGAACACCGACAGATAAACCGTTACAGCGACAGCCATTTTTGTAGACACGACAGACGACAAAGTAGCTGGCTCAGATCAAACCCAGATATGAGAGCACCATGCGACTTGCTGCTCAATTCAGCTTTGTTGACCTGGCGACACAGTGGAGGCTGTGCCGACCGGGACGGTTTCCACTTGCAGGGATGATGGGGGTTTCACATTTCCAGTTATCCAGGTTTCCAGCTGCAGGGGGGAAAGTGTGCCTTTCACTTGTTATTCTATCACCCAGCCTGTTCTGCAAAACAGCTCTACGAAGGCCAAAACGCAGAATAGACTAGGGCCAGGGCTCGCAGGGAATCCCCTAGTCTCTTCTGCGAAGCAGGTCTAAGAAGCCCAAAAGCAGCAGGGCCAAGCACCCCCCTCTCACTTGGTTTCGCAGCCCGAAATCTCCAAAATGAGGAGCCATATAGGGCCGCACAGGACCCTCTGAGCCCTACGGCTCCTCATTTCGGACGTTTCGCAGCCCGAAACCTCTAAAATCAGGAGCCGTATGGCCAGGGATCCTTTGGCCGTAGAGCCCCTGAGCCCCACGGCTCCGCAGCTTGCAGTTCTCCCAAATGAGGAGCTGTAGGGCCGCAGAGGACTTGAGCACTAATGTGGTTTCGCAGCGAAACCTCCAAAATGAGGACACTTGAGCCCTGCGGCTCCTCTTTTCGGAGGTTTGGCATGCCGAAACCTCCAAGATGAGGAACCATAGGGCCGCACAGGACCCCTCTGAGCCCTACGGCTCCTCATTTCGGAGGTTTCGCAGCCCGAAATCTCCAAAATGAGGAGCCGTATGGCCAAGGATCCTTGATAGAGCCCCTGAGCCCCATGGCTCCGCAGCTTGCAGTTCTCCCAAATGAGGAGCTGTAGAGCTGCAGAGGACTTGAGCACTAAATNNGGTTTGGCATGCCGAAACCTCCAAAATGAGGAGCCGTAGAGCTGCAGAGCATCCCCTGAACCCTACGGTAGCCCAAACCTTTCAAAATGAGGAGTCGTAGGGGAGCCTTGTACGGCTCCTCATTTTGGAGGTTTTGCAGCTCGAAAGTTCCAAAATGAGGCTGCAGAGGACCCTAAGCCCTAATGAGGAGCCATAGGGTTGCAGAGGACCTCTCTGAGCCCTACGGCTGTTTGGACGCACTGCCTGCTCTGCGCGAGTAAGCGCCCTGAAGCCCCGAGACAGATATCAGAGGCTAAGGGGCCCAGAGATAGGTCTCGAGTATGTCTCCAAAGGAAAGCGTACTTGCCGAATGTGCAGTCCAAATTGATTGGACCGGGGAGAAACAAGCAACGCCGAGAATGGCAGAGCGTAAGCTCTTGTCGGGGTAACTGAGAAGCCTGTCGTGGTAACAGAAACACATGTCGTTGTTGCGCATTTCTCCCCCCTGACGTGGTTACGACCTACCCTCGGCGTTTATTGAACATTTTTATCTACAAGACATGGAAATTGAATGAGAAGGATTCCTGTATGTCCAGGTTTGTGTTTTTCAGGAGGCATTTAAAAACGACGTCCCCGAGGCTTGTCAACATGCTGTGGACATGTTATTTCAGGGAACGGAGTGTTATTGCTTACAAACTGCGGCATTTTTTGTGCTGCTTACTTGTGTTTGATATTGCAACCTTGTGTCAGCTCATCGCATTACATATTCACCGATGTTTGCACGATCAGCCTGTGATGGCAAGGGCCAGACTGGCGGGCAGAGACTTGGCAAATGTCTGTATGGATGCTTGCAAAAGCTTAGACGTGACCTGCACGGCGCAGCATCCCGTTGGAGATTTCAGATCGACAAAGCCTTCTAGCATGCTCTAGCAGACACCTACCCAACCTGCATTCAACATGTCTTCAGCAGCTTACCAGGCAGCGGGGGTGGCATAAGGTAGCAAGCTGTGGGTGACGAATGTCGTTGAGGTGGCCTACATGGTTCTATTTCGCGGAGTTGGACCGCTTGTTTTCTTCATAAAGCACACGTAGGTCACAAATGCCCTTGTTTGTAAGGCTGGTGTAAGATGCCTACGCGGACTAAGCTTCAGCTACGAAAGCTAGCTCCTTCGAGGGTTCTCAGCCATTTTTTTTACCAGTTCCCTGGCAGTATACGAGTCCTTGGGTCAGCTTGTCTCCGGTTCACGTGTCTCCTGGACTTTCTCTGTGACTCGTTTTCAGGGACGGCCCCTTATTTGGGGCGGCCCCTTATTCCGTAGCAGGATGTCTTTAGCCACATCCAAATATATCCAAATACTCCTGCCAGTAAATCTGCAGTGCTCCTTCTTGAAGAATGTTGTCCCCAGCTGGATAAGCTCCACGCACGCTTTTGTCCTTGTTAGGTAAGCCGTCAGCGCCCACAGAATTTCACAAAATACAAAATGGATAGAATCAAGGATAGAATCAATCAGGCATCATCTCATTTGTCTGAGCTGTGTGGCCGTGGTGCTTAGATTCTGCCCGCAGCGAGCGGATCGAAAGTGTGGCCACTTGCATTTGTGAGATCTTTTGTTTGGCTTGTTTCATGCCACATGCAAACACACAGTGGAGTAAACAATGCCCCTGCAAAGTGCTGAGAGCCGCAGCAAGGCGATTGGATTGTCTGTCTGATTCGTCGACGACATAGGGTTGGCATTCACAATGCCGAGTCCAGTGTCGGATCTGGTCCTGGCCAGCTTCACATCTTTCAAGAAGCGAGAAAGTAAGAAGGGCTTGAACTCTAACATTCAGCAAGCTGATATTTGCCTGCGTCGCACGTTGAGTACTCTTTGCTAGCGCAGCATCAGGGAAGATGTGGTAGCAGCAGGCAATTTGGTTGCGAAAGCTGGTCTCTTACAAGCCGGGGTCGAGACTCAAGTGCTCTAGCTTCAAAGGCCCTGGACGCAAAGATGTTCGCCGCTAGCCTTTATTCATTGGCAGAAGTGGCCTTCGTGCCTTCCCACTATCCTGTAACGCGGGCTACAATAGATGAATACGCAAATGTAAGCGCAGAGAACAGAAGGAGCAACGGGACAAAAAGAGCAGTCCTCGACAAACGCTGGCTAACAGTCATGATGTGCCAGGTGTTTGGATTAGGGTCGGTGAACAGGCCGGGATGTAGTCTACGAGCACCCAGTAGTGGGAGACCAGGCTTGCGCGCAATGAAAGAGAGCAGGTGTTGCATCGGTGACCCTGTAGTTTTGCTTGCGCTTGAGCGTATCGAGCAGCGGCTGTGCTTGACATTCGCTGCGAGTGGCTCCAGGTTCAAACTACCTTTCCAGCCCAGAATCCATACCACTGCCGCCTGGAGCTTCCTTTCGGCAATGGTAAGCAAAAACGTGCAACAATGCAATTCGCGCTGCTCCGAGCTACTTGGAGCACCTAGAACTAGAACATGCTGAGACTTGTGGAAGTGAGCTTCCCTGAGTGCTTGTATGCTATTGACCAAAATCTACAGCACCCTTCTTGCGATGGGCAAATGCTATCCACAATGTGTACGCTTTCATCCCACACCACATGAAAACAGGCGTCTTGTTTAGGGTTGCTGGGGCCTTCTCTTAGTGCTTCCGTTCTCTGCCTTGCACGTAGGTCCCAGTAGGACAGCACATAGTGACATGACCTGTAGAAAGGTTCTGCTGGCAACATATCTTCAGATTCAAGTGTTCCACGGCTTGCGACCTCTTGACTGTTGCTTGGCAGCAAAAAACTCTGGTCCTCGGAGATCCCTGCATCGTTGGTGGCAGATCCAAGGCGCAGGTGTCGAGGAAGAAGGCGTGCGGTGGGATGTCGTCAGGCTGGATTTGTCGCATGCACTTCTAGAAGTGCTGCATAATGGGGCACTGTCCCGTGATCTACACGCCTCCAAGGACTGCAACCCAACTGCAGCGTGTAAGTGTAAGTCCACTTAGGGGAGCTGGAACGAGCTTGGCGTTCCAGGATTCCAAGGGCCGTGACCCAGCAGTTTCCTACGGCGATGTCCAACTGCAGCGTCATTTGGAGCGCCTGCAGCGGCTTGTCCTTGTGCCCTCGCTTTGCAAAATGTGTAGGACACGAGTTTCAGAACGTTTGGGCCAGGTACTGCCAGAGAAGAGCCGATGCTCACTGGGCAGGTACTCCTTGCGGGTGCTTGTGTCTGCCGCGCGCTTGAAGATTCTGGCCCTTGGAATCACGACATGGTGCGGCAAGACCCTGTTAAGCCTCAGGTGTTGTACTCCGGACTGAGCTGGGAGGCCTGGTTTGACCGCTACGAGGAGCGCCATGGTGCCTGAACGGCTTGCACAAACCACCAAATTTAGGTGTGCTGAAAGAGGCTCAAGTTTACCAGGGCACTGTTGTCTGTTGTGTGCCGTACATATGCCTGAAAAAGCAGGACCTCATGTTGTGTAGACCTACAGTTTTTTTTCATACAGCAACCAGTCCTGGCGTCCATGTCCAAACGAGCCTCACCACTCAACGCTGCAATGCCAGTGTCATTTTCCGGACAGCGCTGTAGCAACACACCATTCT